TGAAATGTTCTGAACATACCAAGTTTAAGTCTTGGTACCTTTGTTACCTACAAATTTCTGATTATTGGGCACCTAGTATGTGCCAGGTTCTGTTCTAGGTCTTAGGGAAACAGCAGTGGTCAAGGCCAAGATCCTGGTCTTTGTAGAGTTTACTTTATGATACATATTTACAAATACATGGTGTAATGTCACTGTGCTAATGCCACAAACAAGAGTAGAGCATGGTAAGGCGGAAGAATGCAGAAGGGATCTTGTTTGTTGGTCTGGCAGGATTATATAAGGATGTGGTATTTAAATGGCAACCTGTTGAAGTGCAAGAGCAAACCATGTTTTTAGGGGGCAGAGAACTCTGCATGAACAAAGGCCCTGAGGTGGAAGAGTTCCAGGGTTGTTCAAAAACTACAGGAAGTGCATGCTGCTTTCCATCTGTAACTTTTAGATGAGGTTGGAGTGAATTTTAGCTTGTAAATCTTAACTAGTTGTCCCTCTATTACTGAATAATTACTATTTTCTATTGATTTGAAGTGCTGTTTTATCATGTATGAATTATATGTATGTTTATGCATGCAGACATGTTTATCAACTTCCGTTGATTTATCTTCTTGCACACGTACCATACTGTTAACATTACTGTACTTTATACCAGGCATTGGCAGTTTATGGCCCAGAGGCCAAATAAGGTCCACCAACTAAAGTTTTATTGGAAATCAGCCATGTTGGCTAACTTGCATGTTGCTTATGGCTGCTCTTGAGCTACCGTAGTAGAACAGAGGTGAAGAAGGCCTATAAAGCCTACAGTACTTACACTGCGCCTGCTACCAGGATCACCAAACTCTGCTTTGCTCTGTATTCATACCTGATGGAATACACTCTTCCTCATTCCTTTTTCAACAATTTCTTGGCAGCTCTAGCATGTTTGTTGTTCTACATGAACTTTAGGATCAGTCAGCCAAGCTTGCCTGACTTCCTTTCTTTAGCTCTTTTGGGGCAAGGAACTACAGGGCAGGTGGGATGGGAGTTTGATTGCATTTAAGTTGTAGCTTAGGGAGGGAGAAGCGATTGTAGTTTTGGGGCTTCCAATTCCAGGAACCTAATGGTCTACATTTATGTCTTTCATTAGATTTTTATTGTGCCTTCATTCATATCTTAGATATTGAAGTTATTCCTATGTATATTATTGCCTTTTGTGCCTATTATAATTGAGATCGTCTCCTGTTTATATTTCACAAATGACTTTTATGGTATAAAGGACTGCTTTTGCTTTTCACGTATTTACGTAGTTTCTGACCCTCATCTGGGAATCGACTGTTAGGACTGTTAATTTTTTAATTTGATTCTTTTGGTTGACAGTCCAAACTTACATAATTGTTTCATTACTAGTATTTACATGTCTACCTGTATTGTGGACTTCCATAGTTACAGTAGCTTAGGGAATGGACTCTGACCTCCTCAGTGATGAACATCACTTTCATATTGTGCAGGTCACAGCAAATAGTAATTAAAACAAACTACACTATTTTATGTTCAGTGAGCTTTTGTTGATAGTTTTAAGGATACCCAGCATGTAATTTAGGCAAGCTATTTCTCAGGCTGTGCCTTTGTGCAGAGGCAATTGTCACTTTTAATGTGGAATGTAGAGGAGTGTGCCTATTACACAGCAGAGTCAACCCAGTCACTGCTTTACTGTGGAAAGCCATGTGATCATGGAGTACAGTTGACCTAACCTTGTATTTATCCTTTGGAATTGAAATATGAGCAGAAGGAGATTTTTATGAATCAGTTAGTGCTTTCCTAAATGCATTCTCTGTAAAGCATTTGATTTTTACCCCTCACATCTATGCCTTAAGGATGTGAAATCTATTTTAGATTTCAAAGTCTGTTACTTGCCCTGAGCACTGAACAGATGAACCTCAAATCCAATATGTGTTAACCTTTGTGAATTTATCTTTTACTGCTATTTTTGTTCCTCCCCTCCATCCCCCTGCACCAAATTTGTGCCTTCTCCTTAACTTTCTGTGTTGGTGAAACTAAAGAAAGATTATTCATGTTACCAGTTTTGTTTTATTTTCTGTTTGTGGGAAGTAATGATGGGGTGGTAGGAGTAGGGATGGATATGGATAATTGCTGACATACTGTGTGATTTGTGAAATGATCCTTATTATTTTTGTGGCCTATAATGAAAAGAAACTTCAATTATAAAACCCAATTGTAAATCCTCCTGTGTGTTTTCAGTGTGTTGCAGTTACCTGCATCTGTTACTATAAACATCAGTTGGTTGTATGAAATACAACAGTGTAGTTATGGGCTGTAGTGGTGTATCAGGCCACATGCCTCAGTCACAGAGGGAATCTGATTTGGGGTCTCTGATGTAATATAGTGAAAGTAGAAGCTGTTTTAGATGGCTGGTGTTGAGAATGCTGTAAGCAAATATAGAGGTAATGGATAACTTCTCTTGAGCGCTTACTGTGTTGCAGGCACTGTTAGGTGGTGTGGCAGGTGTCTGCTTATTTTCGTCCTTACCACAACGCTTTGATGGCTAATTCCTTATTCTCATTTTACAGATGAGGAAATTGAGGTGCAGGTTAAATAGTTGGTAGACTTGAGATTTGAACCAGCTGTTAGACTCCAAAGTTAGGTTGTAAAACAAAATGAAATTTTGGCAGGAACAGAGTGAGTGCACACTTCTACTCTGTTGGGAGTAGGGAAAATGATGGGCAGAATGTGGAGTTGAAAGTGAAGGGTTTTGTGAGTGGTATGAAAGTGGATATATGGGAAAAGCCTAGCTCTCTAAAGTCCTGGAGTTCAGGTCAAGGGCAACTCATTTCTTAGCATTTCCACTTCTCCCATGTTCATGTATAGGAGGAAGAAAGGTTTAATAGCCTCAATTTGCCTAGCTTGTCTTCTGTATAGTCTGACAGTTGAATGTATACCAGGGTGGTAAAGTGACAAAGCGTAGTGGGGGGAGTGTCAGAAGGACCTCACTTTGTGTATGGTTTTTGTAAGCTTCTTTCTCCTTTCTCTATGGCCTCAGTGAAAAGAGAATCTGGAGCCTCAAGTTTTCTGTTCTGGTTTTGGTTTCTTTTGGGGAGTGAGTGGTGCCAAGAGTTTAATTTCTAGATGATAATAGAATGTATAATTTATCTTCTTTTTTTTTTTTTTATCTGAGACAGGGTCTCACTAGTTGCCCAGGCTGGCCTGGAATTTGTGATGTTACTGCCTCTCAGCCTCCTGAGTGCTGGGATTGTGGACATGTACCACCACGGCTGGCCTGTCTTCCTGTTTTTAAATTGAGAGAATACCAAAGTGTGTGTGGAGGGATATGGCTTGGTGTAGCATATGGGGAGGGTGTGGGAGTTGGATATTTCAGCTCCTCACAGCCTCTTGCAGGTTTGGAGAGGGCTGTCACTTCTAGTTTTAGTGACCCTCATCTGTGTTTAGTAAGTGTAAACTAAAATAAATAAGTACATATGTACACATGCACACAGTTGCATACCCAAGGTGCTTTTCTGAATCCTTTCTGGGCAATTGTACTAAGTAAGATGGAAGACACAGATTCTGTGCAACATGATGTCATCATTTACTCTAAGCATGCCTAGATAATTCACACACCAGACAATTAACACATGTCTCTATATGAGGCCTGTTTAGAGCCTCTGGCCATCTCTCAGTCAAAATGCTGGTTCTGGGCTGGAGCACTGCTCATGTAGCGAGCAAATATGGCCTGCCGCTCCTGCTGCCTGCATGAAGTGTCAGGGACTCTGCTGTCATTTGGCCTGCTGTCCTGCAGGCCTGCCAAGAACCGGATTCCTAGCAGAATGTAAAAGAGAAAGTAAACCTTTCTAACTAGTAGCAGGAAAGCAGCCCCTGCACAGACAGCTTGCATGGTAGCATCTGATGTTTGAAATCTGTTCTTTGTATCTAACACGCGTCCAAATATTCCAGTGAAAGGGGACTTCCTTTTTTCTTCCTTTTCATTAAAATGGCATAACTAAGAGAGTTACAGTATCTTTTCAAGGTCATCTTCATACTAACCTCTGTGACAGAAAATAACTAATGTAAATTTCTATTTTATGATACTTTTATTGATGGCTTTTTCAAATATGAAATTATTCACAAATTTTTAGTTCATTTGTGTGGCCTAATATGTATACAAGCATACTTTATAAAAACATTTGAAATGAGAAATGCAAAAGCCTATCAGTTCATTACAGTTTTGTGCTGTGCAGGGTTCCAGGAGGGAACAACTTCATCTGTCTTTCTTGTGCGTGACTTAGTGTGTAATCTGAAATAATTAGAGGTGATACGTGGATGTACTCCTTGATCTGGGCCTGGTTCCTTAGGAGTGTGATTCCTGCTTCTGTGGCACACTTTACTATTGCAGTGCCTGCAAATAACTGTGCAGACTACACCGGGCCCTGGCCTCTGAGGTGTGGAGCACGCAGGACAGTTCTGTGATCTGTGTGTGTTGAAGGGGAGGGGCAGCAGTAGAGAGAACAGTTTTACTCTCTGCTCTATAATCTATCACAAAAAAACGTGTAAGTAAATATATGTTAAGAAATGCTTTTCTGTCATTTTCTTGCCAGGAGCTTGCTTATGTACCGAAAATTCTAGAGGGAAGGGCGGGGGAAAGTGAGTGCATTTCATTTGAGCGCTCATCTGTCTTCTATTTGTGTGACTCGTTTTATTTACTCACATTATTTATATTAAGTTCAAGTTCACTGCAGGCAGGATTTTACAGCAACTACAGTATTTTCTTTTTATCTTAGAATTCACATGAAAAACTCATGAGTTTTAACAATTGGTTAGGAATTTAACTTTATTGTCAGGTCTTATTTCTAGGAGGTAGGACAGCTCAGTAGTTGCATGTTTGTTTGGTGTTTTTAAAATTTATAAGCACCAAATAATTGATATGTGGAAACGTCATTTATCTTCACTATTGGGCTTTAAGTCTTTTTGCAGTTTGGGAAATAACACTGGTTTTTCTCCTTTTTCTTTTAAAGACTTTCAGCTGAACTCTCATCTCTCAACACTGGCAAATATTCATAAGATCTATCATACCCTTAATAAGCTAGTAAGTCAATCTTTTTTTTTTTTTTTTTTTTTTGGTGGGACTGTGGTTTGAACTCAGGGCTTCGCACTTGCAAAGCAGGTGCTCTATTGCTTGAGCCACATCTCCAGACCATTTTGCTCTGGTTATTTTTGGAGATGGGATCTCTTGAACATTTTGCCCAGGCTGGGCTTGAATGGTGATCCTTCCAATCTCACGCAGGTGTGAGCCACCAGCTAGTAAGTCAACCTTAAACACAAAACCACCATCTGTTTGGTCTTTTTGTGTAAATTATTTGATTAAAAAAAATTGAATTGTGAATGAGATATCAATTGCTTATGAAAATACTAAATTTTAAAACTTGCTGTATGGCATGTAATTTCTTAGTAATAATGAACATATTTCTTGCAGAATCTAACAGAAGACATTGGCCAAGACGATCACCAAACAGGTATCTATAAATGCTAGTACTACTTAATTTTTTAAAAAAACATGCTAATATTATGAAAGAGAAACACCAGCCACAAATACTCTGTGTTGTCATTGACAAGTTGCTACTTGATTGAGGATGTATTTCAGGGTGTAGTAAAGGCAGCTGTGTTACTTGTTACTCTCTGGCCCTGTGGGTCTCAAAGTTTAGGTAGTACTATAATCTGGGAAGGTCTTGTTTCAAACACTCATTGCCAGGCCCCACCCTGAGTTTTCTGGTCTGTAGATTTGGGGCAGGACCTCAGTTTGCATTCCTAACATGCTCCCAGGTGATGTTGATACAGTTGGTCTGGACCACATTTTGAGAACCACTTCTCTAAAATGTTAGTGATTATAAAGTTCAGAAACTTGCATTTGGTCTGTAATTACTAAACTTCTAACAAAAATTGTTAAACTATCTTTTAAAATATGAAAATTCCCACAGTGATATATGAATCCATGCTTGTCTTAGTCTGTTCAGGCTACAAAAGAATGCCTTAGATTGGGTAATTTATAAACAGTAGAAATTTGTGATTTACAGTTCTGGAGGCTAAGAAGCTGAAGATCAAGGCACAGATACCTTCCTTGTCTGCCAAGGGCCTGCTTCTCGTTGATAGCATTTCCTTGCTGTGTCCTCACATATGGGAGCAGGAGACTGCTTTCATAGGGCACTGATCATAGTCACAAGGGATTCATCCTTACGACTTATCACTCCTACAAGCCCCGCTCTTCATATCAACACTTTAGGGATTAGATTTCAACATGTGAATTTTGGAGAGATAGAAACATTCAGGCCATAGCAGTGCTTGTTGGAGAATTTTGAATAGCACAAAAGTAAGTGGAGTGAAAAGTGATATTGCTCCTTCATATCTCTCAGTCCTACCACTCTCCCCAGCACATGATTTAATGTTGTTTTTTTCAGGTATTTTTATGCATATGCATATATTTGTATGTGGTTGTTTTGATTTAGCATCCATGATACATTATGCACATTATAATGCATCTGTTTTCATAAATGGTACATCTTAGAAATTTTTGAGATGTAGGACTTCCCCTCCCTCTTTCCAGATTGGTTGAGAATCAATTGAAAATTAAGCCTCAGATGGAGATTGAAATAACAGTATTGTTGGCAAACACAACTGAATTGTGCACCAAGAATGCTGAAGCTTTTTAGTATTTCATGTGACTCACTGAAATACTAAATACAACTAGGTGAGTACAGATTGACACACCTGCTGTGCCTCTCCATCTCCCATGCTATGAATGTGTAAGGCTTCCTACTTTTTTTTTTCTGGTAGTGGGGTTTGGACTCAGAACCTTAAGCTTGCTAGGCAGATAGATGCTCTACCACTTGAGTCATACCCCCAAGCCCTTCCCACTCTCCCTTCCTTCCTCCTTTTCTTCCTTTCTTTTTCTACTGGGGTTTGAACTCAGGGCTTTAGACTTGCTAGGCAGGCCCTCTACCACTTGAGCCACTCTGCTAGCCCTTTTTTTGTGTTGGGTATTTTTGAGATAGGGTCTTGTGAGCTATTTCCCTGGGCTGGCTTGGATCTTATCTTTGCCTCCCAAGTAGCTAGGATTATAGGTGTGAGCTACTGGCACCAAGCTACTTTAGTTATTTTTCAGGTAGAGTCTGGCACATTGCAGGGATCACAGACATGTACCATCACGCCTGACTTATTGATTGAGATGGTGTCTTGCTAACATTTTTTTTTTTTTTTTTTTGCTTATGCTGGCCTATAACCACATTCTTCTTCATCTCCACCTCTTGAGTAGCTGGGATTATAGGCCATGGCTCCTGGCTGGCTTCATACTTCTGCCTGCTTGGCTGACAGGCACATCTGAAAGGAGCTCAGAGAAACTAGGCCCTCTGCTCTGCTTGCCCTCTCTGGATCACCAGTGAGAGCAGACACTTCTTGCAGGGGAGGAGTGAGAAAGGCAGCAAATACTGACAGAGGAGTTCTAGGAGGTCAGGGACATGGAGGGTCTTTTCATAGTAGCACACTTATAAGGGCCTATTCTATTCTGTAATGGCTGTATAATTTTCTAATTCATGAATAAATCATATGTTTCTTCAATCTCCTGATGATAAAAGTTTTAGCTATTTTCAGTAATGCTGGACCAGTTTTAATAGTTAGGGGGGACAATAGCACAATTCTGTCCCTTTCTGTAACAGTATGTTGGTGGACTATGAGGATTTTTTAAACTTAGTGTAGTTTTAATTTTAAAACTGAATTTAACTCCTCTCAGTTCTGAATCTTGTACACTATGTAGTTAATTTTGAAGTTTTGGTTTAAATGAATAATGTTACTAATAGTAATTTTATATCTAAATATTTAACCCGGAAAGTGGCCCTATAATAACTATAAGTTATGGTTTAGGAAGATGAAAGAGGAAAGTATAGTGACCTTGACCTCCCCTTTTGCTTTTGGGGACAGCATGTGTTTCTTGACCTTTGGTCTATGACATGCTGGTACAGTGCCTGATCAGTCAGTGCTAGCGATTTCTTAGAGTAATCCGTTTCATCCAGTTCCACATCTAGTTATAGTATCCCTTGTGATTCCTATACCTGACAGAGTCTACTTGAAAATTTAAGCAATGTAAAATCAGTGGTGTTTGGAAATCTAAACAAGTATAGACACTGAGGTGCCTCTTTGACTGTCTTGGCCCAAAAGGAGTGTGAGTGCCATTCTATAACTTTTACATGTAGAAGAGTCAAGCCCATGTCAAAAGCCTGGGAGTTTCGTGCTCTGTCTTCTCTAAATTTTTCTCTGCTGCTTTTAATCTTCCACCAGAGAGGGAGGGAGAAGGAGAAGAAGGGGGGGGAGGGGTAAGAAAGGGAGGGGAAGGGAGAGAGGGAGAGGAGAGAATGAAAACTAGTAGTTAGATAACCCCAGAATAGAGGAAATTCTTTTTTTTTTGAAGGCCAAAAGAGAAAGGACAAATGAGTAAGGAAAATGTAAGTGCCAAAGTCAGTATTAGTAAGAGAAAGGAAAGGAAACTTCTTTTGTCTTAAATAGCAGGACAAATAATTATGCATAAAAAAATAGTTTTCATGCAGACAAGCAAGGAGTTAAATGATCTGTTCAAGAAAATGAAATAAAATATTTGGTACTCCCAAGATGTCTTAAAGTGCAATGTATTTATCAATGTAAATTGTTACATCTTTGTGACATTGTTCATTGAAGAGTGAGGTGAACTAGCTGTATAAAATACTAAAGTGGCAGAGTGAGCTATGAAAAATGTTATTAAGTGAAACAATGCTGTGATACAGCAAGCTCACTAAATGAAAAATTAGTGAGATTTTTATATTGGAACATGCATTTGTTGTAGGTTTGGAAAAAATCAGAAACACTCTCTAGTTTTGTAGACCTCTTGTTTGGAGATGACTGAAAATTGGGCACATGAGTTGATGTGTCTTGTGAAAAATTAGTTCTGACAGTGACTCATTTTACTGAGGCCTGCAAAGCCAAGACCATTTTAATTACATATATATGCATACATACAAACATACATACACACACTCTCTCTCTCTCTCTCATTATTATAAAGGAAGAGGAGCACTTCCTTAGACACCATTTTTTAAGAATAACATGCTTAGTTTAAATTATTATCAAAACAGTAAGCTGAGTAAACATTCAAGGGCCTTTGCTCTGATCCAGGTGAACTCAAGTTGCCTTTTAAACTTAATTTTCTGGGACAAATACTAGGATAGGCCTGTTGAAAAATGCTGTCAGTATTTGTAGTTGTATATGTAGGAAGGAATACTATATTAATCAACCCTGGTTTATTTGAAAATATGGCCAGTTAAAAATATTGAATGTTTAGTTTGTTCTTTTGAAATACTAACCAGAAAAAAGAATCTGAACTCAAATTATAAATCATAACCTTTGGATAAGATTACATAATTATTATTGCTCCCTAATGATCATATAAACACCACAGCATTACTAAGGAGCTTTTGGCATCCACAGTAGGCACTTTCGGAATCCCTCTCAGGTATGAGATCCTTGGTGTCATATTGCAAAAAGTGCTTGGTAATTGTCAATGTATTATTAGAACATTGGTCTTGATATGTTGTCTTTACCTATAGGCCAAATAGTTTGTAGTTCATTCTCTGAAGTAAATTAATGTACTGTAACAGTCTTGAGTGTATTATTTACTCTCTAATTTTTTAGTGTAATTTTAATTGAAGTAGATTAAGTATTACAAATTCTGAGTCATTGAAGTCTAAATGTTACAAATAAATGAAAATTTATAGAACATACTCATTTAGATTTAAGTATTTTTATTGCAAAATCACCTTTCGCAGAGTTATTTTAAGAAGCATTTATATTTTAATAAAACTCTACCTTCCTCTAAACTTAAGGGTATTTGTTAAGCTGACAAATGGGAAATCAGAAGTGATGGTGTTTTAAATACCTGGAAATGTACTGATTTTTCAAGCAGAACTTGATTTATGCATGTTTTAGTAACACATTTATTTAACAAATATTAAGTGTCCACTAATGCCTCAATAATGTATTAATACGATACCATATTAGTTGCTGAATACATACAAGTGAACCAAACAGGATCCTGCAAACAGATGCATCTGCCCCTCCCCCCTTGTTATTTGTTTTGTTTTGTTTTTTTGGAGACAGACTCACCATGTTGCTCAGATTGATCTTGCTATGTAACCTCGACTGGCCTCAAACATGCAGTCTTGGCTGCTTCAGTTTTCTGAGTGCTAGGATTATAGGCATATGCTATCATATCTGGAACAAAATGAGCCTTTGCATATAATCTTAAAAAATCTGCTGTTGCTCTTGTTCAATTAGGATCTGTCAGTGAGGAGAGGAGTTGGGGCAGAGAGCAGGTTTGGGCAAACAGCCTGAATTGTGTGCTCTTTGTGTAGTTAGTTGATTTAGTTTTTGTTGGCAAATTATTATTTTAAGGAAGCTTGTTTTTCATGGCATTAAATTGCTGCTTTTTCTGTAGCCTG